GGTCTTCTAACCTTGTTAAGGCCGCTTCTGAAGATGGACGGAGGGCTAGGCCAGATGGGACATGTTGCACTACCTTCAGCATAGTAGAATTCTCGCCAAGGAAATTTCGGAGTTGAAGGAGGAGTGAGTAAGTTAATATGAGGCGTTCTGTCGCGTTTTCATCAAGGCGTAGAAACAATCGATTATCCAAAGGCAACGGTTTGGCCTGTTTTTGGAGATTGTCAGGTCTCGGTTTCTGAGGGGTGCTAACTCCAGCATTGCCCTTCGGTTTTCTTGCAACGTTCGCGTATGAGGGCTTCGCATGGGAAACTGGCTTCGGCTGGGTTGTCAGAAGGTGGGTAGTTATTGCGGTAATTGGTACACCTCGCACATGGTTTTCGAAAAATTCTTATGCAACAGCTTGCATACGGGTCAAGAACTCGTTATATGTTTTCTGTAAATGTAGGGGGATTGTAGAGGCAGCTGTACCAGATGTGAAATTATCCAATGCTGCGGCGACGCTGCCAAACAAAAGAGTTGCCTCCTGCGTTCTTGTGTTAGCAGCGGAAGTCGCTTGGTCCAGCGTTTCTGTCAGTGTCGTTGGTGGCCCTACTACTAACGGAGGAATAGGTGGAGGAGGGGGGTCAGGCATTGTTCGCGGTCGTAGATGTAAGTATGAAATTGAAACCTAAGGGCGATTTGAAAGGAGTTGATGACTGACAATATTGCCTCCTTGGTGGGAACTTAGAGGTAAATGATTGTAACTGTGTGATGCAAAATATTGGAAAGCGGCAAATTTATTTGTCATGGAACAGGACGTTTTATTAATCACGTGATATATAACCTAACACGTGCCTCTAAATGTATATAACTTGTCAGAGTCCAGCGGCAGCTCCTTTTCTCTTTCGTATACAATCTAACACACCAGATCTGACATTTTCGATCTAGCATTTATCCCATATCGTTACAATATTCACCGATACACAAACAGGCAGTACAAAACATGAATTTCAAAGACACACCCTTACACGTCCACCCTCAAACATCCACCGTAACCTAACCAGACCCCAAAGCAGTGTCGTCATTCGGCTACGAAGCGAGCATATCGGGCTCAATTCTTACTTGTACAGAATGAAGGTACCCGGAGTAGAAAAGCCAAGCTGTCAATGTGGATGTCCCTCACAAAACATCAAGCACATGGTATTGGCGTGTCCACAATGGGCAGGTGGAAGAGGCGACTCTCTCCGTCGAGCTAAAGATAGGTCATTTGAAGCCATGATGAACAGCCCAGAAGAGGTGGCTAGAATCACACAGTGGATACTAAGCAAAGGATGGATAAAACAGTTTCGACTTGCAGGGGAAGTCGAGGTAGCAATTTCGGATAAAATTAAACGATCTAGAAGGGGAGAGGACGGAATCCACACTGGCTGAACAGTGTACACTTCACTTCCGGAAGGGGAACCAAACAAGTTGATGACAATAGAAACTGGCAGGATCAGGGGGTTTCCCACCAAATTAGTTTCTTCTGTAAACCATGAAGATAGTCATCTGTGTGGACCCATAGGCTGCCTGATGGGGTTAAACGAAATCAAATTCAAAAATGTCAAAATAATGAAAAACTGAGCAGGCACATTGTTTGCGACATTACAAAAACTGGCTCAACCCTACCCGTCTGTAATTTGCGCGCGACAGATGCTGATTATGCCATGAACTTGCCAGGACTATTTTAACGTAAGCTTCCATGACTGATGGTCAAAATAGGTTTAAACATCACCTACGGCTAGCTAAATCTACTAAGCTTGGACATGATTTCGAGACGTTGCCTGGGAAGCAGTGTACCAAGTTCAATAGATGGATTATCTGTTAGGAGTTAGGTGATGTGGTATGATCTATGCAGAAGTCATATTATGGAGTGATGGGTGGATGATGTGAAATTTCGTGGGTGACAGTGAATAGACTCGAACAATACTATGCTGTAGGTAAATGATCAGAAACTATAAGAATAGACCCATAGTCGATTGGCCTTGATGCATGTGTACGTAAGGTTAGTTCAAAGCAAAATGAAAGGTACAAAAGTGAGGTATGTTTGATGATTTCTCATCTCTTGTCTCAATTTAAGGATATTGTAGACGTGGGGTTTGTTGTATTAGCTGAGTGATCAAGACAATGAGTCAGCAGCGGAGAGGTACAACGCACTTAGTGCACACCAAGCAGAATCATTTTTCAACACCTATATCTTTTTGTGGCGGATGCAGGCATGAAATCATACTCACGCTCGCCTAACCAGTACACTTGTGATTTATGATGTGGCCTGGAGACACCCGCGATGGCCTAGCCATGACAATGTCGTCGTCTAGTATCAAAACATCAGGGGTTTGAAATTACATATAAAAGTATTACACGGCTAGCTAGGAGGACGAAGGCTGAACACCTGTCAGTGGTGTCCTCCACGAGCCTGGGAGCGAAATATTCTCCCAGAGCCGAGATTCAGTCACGACAAAGGGCGGGATGAATTTTTTTGATGGATTGTCGACTTGAAGCAGTTGCACTCGACATCTTGGTGGAAAAATCAGTCGACAGAGATTTCACAGCCGGAACAAAGTTGAACAAAAACTCATCACCACCAACTTACGATTCACGAATGGATTTAGGTCTGTCTGGGGGTCGTATTCAAACATCTCTCAAACTCCTCATGTATTTGCGACGAAGCATTTCTCAGTTGATTCTACACCTGCGACCCACCTCCATACTCGACACATCACCTACCTGTACATGCCCTAATGAGGAAAGTCATGATGTAAACGGGACGTGTACAAAGGAGGGAAAAAGTGGAAGATACACCGAGGGGATTACACAAGCCCCCAATGACGACAATAACCCGACGGTACGATATGAAGGTGCAAGGCTAGAGCAGCGATGAGATCTGGGACAAAATTTATATTTCGGGGTCAATGAGGATGTAAAGGGCTCGGGCGCGTGGTGGCCGAGGCTGAGGAGGAAATTGCGCTACTGCGTGTATACAGCGGGTTTCTGGAAGGTTAGGCTTGGTATGATTCAACACATAGGCGAAGTCTGAGGTGGTCCGGTGTTTTAGGTGGGATGAGTTAGGTGTACTTCATGGTAGTTAACCTGATCCGGCCCGGCCCCACCCGTGCTTGAACTCCAATAGGAGTGCAACGGTAGTCACTATACCTAGCACGTAAATGAACAAAACAAAAACATGGCTAGCTAGCTGAATGCGCTATGGGGGGACTATTCTCAACACCTGTCAGTGGTGTCCCTTACGAACGTCCAGCTCTCACCGTAGAGTCTGTGGAACCGTGATTGAGTAACACCTTTTCAGCTTTGAGCTAAGTTATCACCTCCGTCAAAGATACGCTTCGACAACTCATAAGACGACCAAGACAACGATAATGATGCTGGGAATGAGGAAAGATAATGTAGTACCCAGCGCTACAACGGTAGTCAGAGAAGCCCTCGTTACATCACAACATGTGCTACCCACCGGTGGGCGAACAAAAAGCCCACGAAATCAAAGTAAAAGACCCTTCCGCCCGCAAGAAAAGCAGATTTCGATTCGTCAAAAATATCGTCCCTAATAATCTTAACTTCTGAACATACTAGCCAGGAGGGCGTCTGAAATACATGAGTAACCTGACGACCCCACGTCCGTAACGGCTTTTGGATGCTAGGCTAGGCTCCTTCACGACAGTCACTCTCGACCAAGACACTTCTGACATACTTTCATGACCTTCGGTTTTTCCTGTGGCATGAATCAAGGGAGGAGTAATGGAGAGGCTAAGAAGGTTGAGAGACGCTTTAAGGTATACATAGGTCTGCTGCGCCCGGCAGGCCGGCTTCTTCGTCATAGGAGAGCCCCACACCCAGTGGTTTTTGAGACTTTCCCCTGCAGCTACATACCCGCAAATGGGCATCGTTCCGTTGGATGGAGAGGGGAGATAATGACGAGATAACGGTTCATCTTAGCGTGTACTCGAACAAAGACCTGTGGGGGTATTGCTGCTGGAAAGAAGTCGTGAAGGAAGCAAAAATACTCCCGGCCTGTAGGTAGAAAGGACCTACATGTCCTTACATAGTCAAAAACTTTATGGGACAAAAACACATACACACACTGAATGCGTTATGAATTATAAAAATTTGCTAAGCGTATTATAATTACTACGATATCCATGTCCCACCAAAATTTGCCATGTCATTTTGGCTGCTTAGGAGGTTGAATGTGACAGTTGAAAACCTAATGTTCAGTGGTAATAACCGGAGGCTCCGAAGTCATGCGAAAAGAGGCCTGGTTCAGTCGTTTTGTGATCAATATTTCATCATCTTTCATTTTGGTACGGTTCGACGGTTGTTTGAGCTTAGGTGAATACCTAAGCACATTGTTGATAATTTTGACGATAAGACTGTTGTTGAATAATCGACAAATCTTAATGAAACAGCGCTAATAACCAAGAGGTCGGAGCAATGTCACGAAGCAGTGAATATGGACAATGCGTGGCCGCGCAGCAAGTGTTTGACTTACGGAATAAGTAACGGGCTCACAGAGTGGATCGAATTTTACAAGTACCTTGAAATTGTAGTTAGATTTCTATTTCTTGTTCACAGAGCTTATTAAATCGAACTTATCGTCACCAACTCGGCTTCTGTCACACGTTAAGTCGTTAAAGGCTTTCTGAAGACCCAAGTTTCAAACTTTACCGTCCATGTCCCTGACGGCATCATAGCTCAAGATCATGTTTAGCCATTACGGCTTCATGGCTTCTTAGTTTGAGCTTTTGGTTTAGAAGTTTTCCAATAAAGGGCAGTCATGATTGAGGTATTAACTTTACATTTCAGGCTGTTTGGAGTATTACTATAGAACTGGCGTATTCATATAGATAGAACATCGCCATCTCCCTTGATAGCTAGAAATAGACATCATCCACATATATCGACATTAGACCGCCTTCAATTGGATCCAATCGTTCCATAACTTACCAACTCGGGCATAGATTAACAGTTTGTCAGCGGCCCGGGGAATAGCTTTCATCAGAGTTGTGTCGATCTCCGATAAATTTCTGTAAGCGGCGAATTTCATGGCTAGAAAATTGCAGACATTGTTCATATTTTCCCATTCTAAGTTTCTGTGTTTCAACAAGATAAAGGTTGTAAGTATCAGATTTGATGTTGTGACCTATCGCGAAAATATGATCTGAGGCTAGATTTGAGTCAAAATCAGATTTTAGGGAGAATTGATCAGGAATATTTACAGTCATTATTGGCTTCTTCAGGTCTCACTTGCCAGAAACGAATTAATTTCTGTTTTGTACGAGTAACTTTAGGCTCAATTTCATTGAAAGTCTGCATCCAATGTTTTAGGGCAAACTCTAAATAGAGCCATATTGTTTTGGACTTGAACTTATGTCCAAAGCAAGTCTGGGGCCAATAACTGTCTGGAACTCTCTCGAGGTTCAGGTTAGATGACGAGATATAAATCTTATTCGGTGGGATGGATGATAAATTCCATACAAGGACACATTTTTTACCCTCTTCTATATTGAGGATCCCCTTGAATTCACCATTGCTCAGGTCAAAAACAATACGAAATTTACCAGGCGGACCTAGCGAAAGGTCGTTAGAATGAAGAAAAGATCGATAATGTGGAATATAAATACCTGAGGTTAATGTGTTGGATATTTTTTGATGCATGGGGTACCAATAAAGATTAACCCCGCTAAATTGATCGCCCTTATATTCTTTGAGGCTGGCGAGCTTATGTTTTCCGCTCAGTCTTTGTTCATAATAAATCTTCGCATCTCGTCCTAGTATCTTGTTTACCATGGATACTGGAAAAAAGTCCATGCCGCAACTGTATCCAAACGAAGCATAAGCTATACTCCAATATTCATTTAACAAGATTTGCTCTTCATTACTCTCTTCAAGAGACCTGCGTACCGGGCTGCATTTATTGAAACGAAATCTTTGCTGTTGTCTTCCGGAGGTTATCATAATTATGCCCATGATTTGGCCTCTAGTGTTCATGATAAGGCGAACTTTCCCTGGGTTCCCTAGATTTTGATTCAGTTTCAGTTATTGAATATGGAAATAGAGCCCAGAGGAATTGATTTATTACTGGAATAAAATGCGCCACTGGACATGATAGGCCACGAGAGAAGGATGTCTGATTTCACATTAAATAGTCGAGTATCTTCGAATGTTTTCGGAAATTTTCCAACCTTTTTTTCAGAGAGAAATATCTCGATACCTCTCTTGGCTACTTCGCGTACATGTTCGATTGGATAAAATTCTAAATCACACACGAAGCCATTCATTCCATCCGGAAGGTACATGTCCGAGTCTAGGATGTCATCACATGTGATTTGAAGTATCAACCAAGATACTGCAAGAGTAACGCTGAAATTAATCCACATCTTCACCGTAAGACCTTTGAGAAATTCTGGATAGTGAAAAGAGCAATGAAGAAACGAATTGCTACGAGCGAATCTGCGTAGAAGCTTCTTGATTAGGGCCGCATTTCTCAAATTTGCGAAATTTGGAAAGAAATCACATCCTGGGTGGGCAGACGAATAAACAGAAACTGCCAATAAATTAACTTAAACAAGTCAAAGCAAAATATCGTGCGTCCCAGTCAAATATTTAATGGCCAAGTCCGCTTGTTAAATCGGCAGTAAATTTCATTATTTCTTCCTCAATGATTTGTCAGTGGCTGACATCTGACTTGATTCACATCCATCGAGGGAAATATTTAAGCCTCTCAAAATCTAGCCCATGAATGTGTTAATTAAGGACCTGTCCAGCAATCCATGACTTCTATTTATAGTATTGATCCTTAATTATGATAAGCTTAACGTAATTTGATTGGGAAGATTAAGATATTTTTCTCTTTGAAGCGGCTCCTGCGATCCTGCCTTCAATTGCTAGGGATATGTTCTACTTACCTGTTAGTTTTATTATTTAACGTCGAGTGGGCCGCCAAGACAAGAATTCGGCACCTGCTATCTTCTTCATACTAGACATAGACGCCCTGGAAGCCTCGCCTTTGCTATTCCCTGACAAAAGATGATGGGTCCTAAATAAGCTCAAAAGTGTTATGCTCAGCTATGTAGGATGGTAGATCTAGTAGCTGGTGCATAGGTAGTTATTATGGCAGCATGGCGTTATGGCGCATGGAGGAGATCCAGTCTCTACATAACTACATTACATGTAGTAATGTGTGCAGTATGAGAGATGGGTTGTTGATATAGGATAAATGGCATGGCTGCTTAGTTGGTTGCACACTTTGGTGAGCTGCATACTGGTAACGTGATCGGTCTACAAACGAACAAGCTAGGGGATAAGGGACGAGCTTCCCCCAATCTGTAATATAACAATTATCATAGTCACTTCACTTCTGCACATTAATGAAGACATCTCTCCACATACTATCTTAGCTGTTCCAGCGCAAGTGTACATCCCCAAATCATATACCAATCATAATAAAAAGCAACGCCCGATGTCGCATCCGCTCTTTATGCAATTAACATCACATGATACAATATATTCTTCAGAGGCCTGAGTCCAAGACTCTGTTCCTTTCCTATAGACAGACTGCCACATGTAGTGTGATAGCACCAAGAATTATTTCTAGGAAATATTCAACCTGAAGTTCTAGGGCGAAATATTGAGTAGAATTCTTCCTGATCAAACTATTTGACAATACTAATTGTCCCCCCTCAGACGGCTAAATAAATTTTTCGTATTGCTGTGTTCTAATTTGAATATGATTTCATTTAACCCCATCAGGCAGCCTATGGGTCCACGCAGATGACTATCTTCATGGTTTACAGAAGAAACTAATTTGGTGGGAAACCCCCTGATCCTGCCAGTTTCTATTGTCATCAACTTGTTTGGTTCCCCTTCCGGAAGTGAAGTGTACACTGTTCAGCCAGTGTGGATTCCGTCCTCTCCCCTTCTAGATCGTTTAATTTTATCCGAAATTGCTACCTCGACTTCCCCTGCAAGTCGAAACTGTTTTATCCATCCTTTGCTTAGTATCCACTGTGTGATTCTAGCCACCTCTTCTGGGCTGTTCATCATGGCTTCAAATGACCTATCTTTAGCTCGACGGAGAGAGTCGCCTCTTCCACCTGCCCATTGTGGACACGCCAATACCATGTGCTTGATGTTTTGTGAGGGACATCCACATTGACAGCTTGGCTTTTCTACTCCGGGTACCTTCATTCTGTACAAGTAAGAATTGAGCCCGATATGCTCGCTTCGTAGCCGAATGACGACACTGCTTTGGGGTCTGGTTAGGTTACGGTGGATGTTTGAGGGTGGACGTGTAAGGGTGTGTCTTTGAAATTCATGTTTTGTACTGCCTGTTTGTGCATCTGTGAATATATTTGCGCTGTGTTCCAACTATATTGTATATTAATTTGAAACTAGAGAATAGTGAAACCCCTTGAAAGCATGCAAAGAAACTGCGCAAAAATAGTCACAGGAGCTTATAAATGGGCTAGCACGAGACTGCCACCCTACTGATAGAAATCTACCTGAAGCAGCAAAGTCTTCAATACGTTGGCCGCTCGAAAAGCCTATCAGTTCAGAAGCTCATACAATCTGCCTGTAGTAATATCAAGCTGCCCAATCGAGGGAGAGAAGATATCCGCGCCACTAACAGGGGATTAGATCTGGCAAACCAGGTGGAAATTTGTAAGCAAGACGAGTCGAAAAAACGGTAGAAAGAGGCAGGAAAAGTCGCTACACACAAAGAATGGGCTAAATCCTGGAAAAATCAAAGGCGGCTCCAACTACCTCGACAAAAGCTATCGCTGACCCCGAAACCTGGAGAGCAGTCAAATTCTATCAGAACCGAAAGTCGGATCGATGGAAAACAAGTCTTCAGGAATCGCCATTTTTACTCCACCGAAACCTGACTAGGGCTCAAAGCATCCTAGCGATGCAAATACAAAATGAGCACATGGGGCTCAATTCGTATTTATATAGAAGAAAAGTATTCTGTGGGGCAAAGTTATACTATTGTGAATCTCTCTCAGAGTTGATTGAATTGATTGTCCTTTCCCATGAGGAATCTATCTAGGTACTATATCCATCTTGAGTATTCTACTAATTCCAAATATAGACTGTCTATTAGATTGCCCATGCGAACTGCTCAAATCTCCGTTCCATACATGGTCCTAATATTGGCTGTGACATTGTCATGGGCAATAGAAGGAGTGAAATAACAAGGGAGTTTTGCGAAGGAAATTGGCCATCCGTCTAGTCGCTAGTTGTAACATTTGCACGACTAACTTATTGCCCTTGATACATCAGCCCCGTATACTTGCTTGTAAACTACTCAACTTAAACATCGTGATACCATATTTAAATTTAGGGTAATCCGTTTGACATATTCGGAGTCTACAGTCCAAGCTGTTCATGTGGCTGCCAATCGCAGAATCCCAAGCACATGATCATTTCCTGCCCTCGATGGTCAAATGGAAGAGGTGAGATCTGGAGACAAGCCAAAGATCTGTCCTATGAAATAATGATAAACATTCCCGGAGACGTCAAAAGAATAACACAGTGGATCCTAAATCATGGTTGGATAGAGCAATTCCAGATGACATAGGCGGTCGAAATGCTGCTGAGGGAAAGGAAGAGGTCAAATAGTGCTTGGGGCGGTTAGAGATGCTCTGGTTGGCTTACGTGGACGGCAATATATTGTCACTACGCTTTCTGAAGTAAATGTGTGAGAAATAAAGACACCAAGAAGAAAGTTGTGGGGGATTTTCACCAATAGTGTTGGAAATGGAGACACGGAGTGTTGTGGACGTATGGGCCCTCCATTTCGTCTAGGTTCCCGACACGATCTCGTGTGTATTTAAGAGGTAGGAACAGGTAATATGGTAGCGCTTCAGGCTACCTATTGGACATATGAGCGGCTGTATGGCGTGGGCGCAAGGAGGTTATTGGGGGTTTTCTATGCCTGTATGGCGCCACACTCGTATATGCTGTGGCTTAGGCTCTGTGTCGCTTACACTTGTACTTGTAGCGCACACTTCCCACGCTTCTAGCTGTAATCCGAACATGACACTCTTTTAGTCAACTTCTACTTTCGTTCCATGAATATTGCGCCCATTACATTGCGCGATATTTCCAACAAATAGGTTTGCTTCCGGGTAAATTTTACAGATTATAGGCACCTGCATGGGCCCATAGGGCGCCAAATCAGGATAATGAAATCAAATTCAAATGTGAAACTGTTGAAGCCGCAAATATTTTTACAGATGAGACAACCGACAGAAAATGTATTACCCACAAAAAAATATCCTCTAACATCCACCGAAACCTGAACAGGGCCCAAAGTAGCATAGCAATGCAGATAAAAAGTGAGCACATTGGGTTAAACTCTTGTCTGTACAGAAGGCATGTTACCGGAGTAGACAGCCCAGGTTGCCAATCTGGATATCCGTCCCAGAACGTCAAGCATATGATCATGGCTTGCTCCAACCGGTCCAAAGGGAGATACTGAGAAAGGCGGAAAACCGATCATTTGTGGCCATGATGAATAAACCCACAGATATTGCAAGGATAACCAGATGGATCCAGCAGGAAGGAAGGTTAGAGAAGTTTCGACTGACGCTTGAAGTCGAAGCCACGATGAGGATGAGAGAGGAGAGCAGGGGAAAAATGATCTCCTGCCAGTAGCAATGAAGTGGACAGTGTCCGCACTGGATACAACAGTATTAGTGCACTTCGTGAAGGTAACACAACTTTAAAAGTGTATATAAATTGAAAAGTTGAGGGGGTTTTCACCAAAAGGTTTCCTCCTGTGTAAATATTAAAGTTCGTAGATACCTGCATGGGCCTTAAGGCGCCAAATCGGGCTAAATAAAATCAACTTCAAATATATTCCATTTGATTTGATTTCGTTTAACCTGATTGGGCGCCCTACGGGCCCTCGCAAGTGTCTATCCAACTTTCTAATTTATATGGGAGGAAACCTTTTGGTGAAAACCACGAAACCTCTCTGTTTATTGTCTATTTTTTTTCCAATGTATCCTTCAGGAATTGCAGTTACACTATAGTGCCCTCCGCTTAAATTTATCACATCATCTCTATCGACCTCAAGAATTGTTTAACCTGTTCCTCTCACTCAGCAGCACTTCGACCGCTTTTGTCATCTGGATTTGCTCTATCCAACCATGATTTAGAATCCAACCTTTTATTCTTTTGGTATTGCCAGGATTATTTATTGTAGCTTCATAGGACCGATCTTTGGCTTATCCCCAAAACTCTCCTCTCACATTTTGTTGTAATTAAGGCAGCAACATGACTGCAGTAGACAAATAGTACATATTAGAATAATATGCACTGGCGCCATGAGATATGATTAACCCATATCATCACTCACTGGCATGAATAG